GAAGCCGCCCGCCGCGCAGGGCAGCCCCGCGGCTGCCGCGGCCGCAGGTGAGTGCGGGTCCCCTGAAAGCCCCGGCCTTGCAGGTGGGGGCGAAACAAGGAGGATCCCTTGTCGTCTCTTTACACCCCACCTCGCCTCCATCCTCATCGGCGGGACCGTGCCCCTGGCGGGTCCAGCCTCCCTCCCCTCGTGGGGCTGGGGATCCGAGCGCGACACGTAGCGGGCGCATCCTGACTCAGTCTTCCCGCCGCCACCGGGTTCGCAGCGCCCGGGGGCGCGAGCGTGGGGACAGGTACCCGACAGCGCGTGGGAAAGAGTTCGGCTGTGCCGATGTGCTGGGTGACCTTTTGCCTTTTGCAAATTCACCCTGCGGAGGCTCAGTTTCCATAGCTCTATAATGGGCCTGGTAATGGGAAGCACTTCGGGGGGTGGTTGGGTATTAAAAGATAACGAGAAGCAAGGGGCAGCGACAGCGTGGCTGTCATTTAGCAATCGCGCAATGAATGTTAGTTATCCTTGGGAATGGTGGCGGCCCCCTCCAGGCCCCGGGACGGGGTGGCCGCCCCGCCCCCATCACCTGAGCCCTCCGTCCCTGCCCCCAGCCCCGGCATTGGACTCGGCGGCCGCCGGGGACCTGACGGACGCGCTGTGCGAGTTTGACGCGGTGCTGGCCGACTTCGCGTCGCCCTTCCACGAGCGCCACTTCCACTACGAGGAGCACCTGGAGCGCATGAAGCGGCGGAGCAGCGCCAGCGTCAGCGACAGCAGCGGCTTCAGCGACTCCGAGAGTAAGTGTGGCCCCAGCAGGGAAGGTGCCTGGAGCCCTGGGGACACCCAGTACCCGGCCCACTAAGGAGCACGCTGGGCTCGGGTCTCAGTTTGCTTCTCTGCACACTGAGCGAAGTAAGCCCTAAAGCTCTGCGCAGTCTCTAGGACCCCGGGGGAGTTGAGTCTCCAGGGTGGTAGGCCCAGCGGGGCAGGACCCCGGGATAGTCACGGGAAGGCTCTTGGAGGGCAAGCTCGTCTACCTGCCGCCTGCAGGTGTCATGAAGCAGCTTGCCCCGACTCATCCAGAGAGGACTCCTCGGACCCAAGCCAGGCGTGTCCACAGTTCCCTCTCCTCAGCTCTTTCCCCTTCTCTCCCCTCTCAGCAGTAGCTTTTCAGAGGATTTGGAGCAAGTGCCACGGGAATGGGGGCGGGGGGGTGGCGGGGAGAGACATGGGAGGGCACAATACTGAAACATTTGTGAAACCAGGATAGGTTTCATAAGCTGCTGTTCTTGGGATTTTTGAAATAACTTCTTGCACTTTCTCCTGGCTCTGAGCTCCCAGACTTGCTGCGCCATTGCATGCAGTTTTGCAAGAATACCTGGCACTGCTGAGTTCAAGTATTTTAGAAATTGTCCCTCTTCCTTCAGGCAGGTCCACCACTGGGGACTGCTGGCTTCGACCCACCACTCAGGCTGGAGGAGGAGCCAGATGCTTCCTGGTGACTTTTCTCATAATAGAGACTACCCCAGGGTCTCTTTGCCCTAAAGAACCTTGTAAGAAGAGAGACAACTTTTTCTAGGAACTCAAATGTCCTGTAAGGACTATGGATGTTTGTTTAGGTACCAAACAGCAAATTGGGTGTCTTTTCAATATTATGTGATTGTTGGTTTTCAAATCCTGGATTACTTATTATTTTTCAAAGTGAATTTTAAACTCTTCTGGGTTATTCTTGAGACTTCCCTCCCTAGATGGGTGACAAGCGTTATTGTCACTCCCTTTGCTGCCCTTGACTCTGGAAGTAAAAGCGATGACCTTTCCTTGTGATTCTCTTCTTTTGAAATCTGAAGCTCTTTCTTGTTACGGGACAGAGATACAGTCCTAGACTTAAACGTGAGCTGTCCTCCAGAAAAGGGGTGAAGGGCACTGGCCACGCTGTCCAGGGTTTGAGGCAGAAACCTGAGTTCCAGCTTGGCTTTCCTTGGCAGTCCTGCCCGAGGGTTGAATCTAATTGCAGCTTTTGAGGTGAAAGGGAACGGAATAGTGTGCAGTTAATTTTCCGTTTTGTGTTTGTGGACTTTGTTGCTAATGACAGGACTGCTTATTTTCTATTTCAAAGGGAAGTCTAAAAACTTTTGAAATTTCTCTCTATCTGTAGCCAAGCTTAAATATGTCTCCTTCTACTGGGGCATGGAGCAAGTTATTCATCAAGTACAGATTCTCGCCCCCACGGGAAAGAAAGCTGGGATGATCTGTCTACTGCTGCTCTATTGCAAAGAACAGCTCCTTTCTAAACCACAGCGAGTTTGGCCAGAATACAGTCTGAGCTCGCCCATTCATGGGTGATTGCAACTCCCTCTGGGTACTATTTCAGATCTGGGATCTGTTTTCAGAGGCCTCAAAGAGAAGGCACTTGAAACACATTCTTAATGGTTTTGGGGGAGGTATTTGGAATAGTCTGTAGTTTTTCTTAGGATATGTGTGTGTATTTGCTTTCTGCTTTTGTTAACTCTTTAAACCATCCCTTAGTTTGATGGTTAGAGAAGTAATAGGGAGGATATAAAGAAGGCTCAGATGACGTTAGTCTTTTCTATAAATGTGTAGTTTGTCCTCCACGAGACTGGTTAGAAATAGTCTTGGCAGAAGCAGTGTTTATCTAAATAGTAATTTCTTAAGGAAGCATAATATGTGTATCTTCATTGGCACCAAGAATCGTCAAACGTTTGTTATCCTCATTTGTCCGTTTAGTACTTTTCTGTGGAAGAGAATGTTTGACAGAGGTAGATCCTACTGAAATTTAGCCCATCAGAAGGGAGACACATCAGAATAATGATAAGAGCAGCTCACTTTTTCCAAGTCCTTACTATGATTACTATTATCATTTATTAGCTCTTACTATCAGGGATCTCTTTGCTGTGCTTTAAATTTGTTATCTCATGTGATCTCTACCAAGTTCTATAAGGTAGGCACTGTTATTTCCATTTTTCTGATAAAATAGCAGAACCACATGGGCTCTCTTTCTAAGGCCTTGCTCTGTCACCAGGAATGGTTGGCTGGAATGGGAACCAGGTCCTCAGGAATAGACTTGAAGTCCCTTTGGACCTAGATCATGTGCCTGTTTATCAATGGTGGTTGTGTTTGAAGGTGTCTCTTCAAGGCAGTGGTCGTCTGGCCAGGTCAGTGGAGCCCAGGCTGAGCTCTGTCAGGGCCCTGGGCAATGAGTGGGCCTCAGTTTCTCTAGCTATAAAATTGAAAAGATGCTATTTTATAGTGCTATTAGAAATATCCAGAAGCTCATGATTAGGGAGAAAATATTTGCTCTGTTGAATGCTTTCAAGAAAATATTGAAATGCATATACCACACTATATCACATAGATGAGATACCTTTGAGCCTGTGTCTTGCATGAAAATGTTACGTATGAAGCTATAAAGCAATGGCACCTTGGTTTTCACTCTACTTTTTACAGCTCTATTACTCTGAAGATATACCCACCTTACAAGATAGATCAAAACAGCATTTCTGTGTTTTGGAGAACCCTTCATTTTCTCATTAAAAAGAAATTTTAGGTTGCTTGCATCCAAAGGAAAAAATAGACATTCCTTTGTCCACCCAAAGAAGCAAGTTACTTAGACAAGAGAGAAGAATGGATATTTAATAAGGAAATACTCCTTTCTGTTCTCACTTACAGGGAGTCCTCCTATGACGTGGAGGACCAAGATAGCAATTGCGAGATAACTTCACATTAGGGGTGGCATTCAAATGGGGTTGATCAAACTAGGCTTGTTCCTTTCCCCTAGATTTGGGTTCCAACAGGGCATCTCAGGCGCTTTTGTGGGAGTAGTTTCAACCTCAGTAGGAAAAGGGCAGTGCGCTTAGGGGCTAGGGCAGTGTTGTTCTAACTTGATCCTCAGAGGTGCTTCAGGAATTGTGAACATCTTTGGTTTGAACTTATTTTTAAAAATATATTGTTTTTCTTCAGTACTTTCAAAACTATAAATGCACACTATGACTTCTCAAATGTGTTTAATGAAATTTTAACTCATAATTACTAAATTTTAACCAATGTGTTAATTTATGTTTCCACTGATTGATTTTACGAGAAGTTTATATTACCTTGAACTTCCAAAGGTGGTCTGAACTTATATCTTTGCTGTATTGGGGTTTCACATACCTTTTTCCTTTGAGGGGCAAGTGTTTTGCTACTTCACAGAAAAGGTCTGAAGCCTACTGTGTGTGCTGGGGCTGTTATGATATTGAAGGGCCATTATAGGGGATGAGGAACGGGCTTATTTGGCATGTGCAAGACCTAGGACATCTGTATATCTGTGCCAACACTGTTCCAGCTTGATCCTGGGAGAGGGGACCTTGTAGACCCTGAGTGCCAGCATGACAGGTAGCATGTTGGCTGAGCTGGCATAGGAGCCACCGAAACTAGAACCTGAACTTGTTCAAGCTGTGAGAGAATGAAGAGTTAGAGCCCTCAGGTTGCCTGGTATTGTGTTAGGAATTCCAGGTGGGTGACAGGTCTCATTCTGACACCTGGAGAGGTGTCTAGAGGGACCGAGCAGTCCCAGAGGGGAAGCTGGGGCAACCGTGGTGAAACTGAGGAAAGGGGTCTTTTCTTCTTCTATCCCACTTTCCGAGGCTGTCGGAATTTAAATTTTGAGGGGGAGATTCACCCCCCGCACACACACACAGCATTCCCCGTGGCAGAAGGAAAACAGGTCCAAGGCTCTCTTTTTCTCAGTTAATTACCATGGTTTGCTTGCCTGAAACGTGTGGGATTGTTCTATATTTACAGGAGCTCTGGGCAAGGTTTACTGTCTGTGGTTTTGCTTCCCTCTGGAGTAGCACATGTTGGTGCTAACCCTAAATTACCTTTCTCCCCACCCCCAAACTGAAAAAGCACATCTACCTTTTAAACAAGCCTCTGTTTTTGCAGCTGAGTTTCTCAGTCTCTGTTGGCACTCTTAAAGTTAGACGTTCATATAGTTAATATGCTTACGTTTCTTTCGATGTTGTCTTAGAAAACTTGGTCCCTGAATTCGAGGTTCCTGGCCCCAGCACACTAAGTTGACTTGCCAAAGATGTTTCTACTGGGGCTTTGAGATGCTTGTGAGATGGGGCTTTAGAGCTGATTGAAGTAGATGGTGTGAGGTCCTAAAATATCTAGTCTCTCGACCTGCCAAGGTTCCCCAAATCATCACTGTTAATGTGTCCCTGGAGCCCGTATTAATAGCAGCACCTGATAGCGGGGTGGGGCAATAATGCATTAATATGTTATCAGCCAGTGACACGTTGCTGTCATTTTATCAGACTCACTGGCTGTTATTTTGCAAGGAGTAGAGTTCCAGGGAAGTGAAAAGAACAGAAGTCAGGCTGTACTTACCTTTTAATCTACCACAACACCTAGCATGAGGTCTTGTTCCTTGTAGGTGCTTAATAAAAGTCCATGGAATGAAACTTTATTGAATAAAGGGTAAAGAGAGGCCTAGATCTTGGGGTACTTCTGTGTTAGTGGTTTGTTCTTGGGAGATTTGTTCTAGGGTGCCTCTGAAAATAAACTTCTCTTGAGCGTTTTGCTTCTATCTGAAGAAGAGGAGGAAGCCTGGGCCCAGAATCTTGACTCCTATTATTCTCTCTGGTGACCTTTCTGCTCCTGGACATGTTATCCTCCATTTTGCCAGGAACTTTCACATAGAATCATGAAAACCATAGGTATCACACGTGGAGCACTTAGGTTACTATTCCCCTTTTGCAAAAGAAGAAACTAAGGCTCAGAGGTGGAGTGATTTGCACAGGGTCACGCAGCTTTCACACACATCTCTATGGTGGCAGCTTCTGCTGGGCCCAGAGCAGCTTTGGGGCTCTTGAGGTTGTCCTTTCCATCTTTGTCATGAATGATATGTGTGGAATATTACCACAGGGTGGAACTAAACTGTGGGCGGGTTTGACTCAAGGATGCTGGGGATTCATTTCCTCCTGATGGTTTGGAGCCTAGAGTCAGGTCTGGCCCAGACTGTGCACTGGAACTCATGGAAAGAGAGAGGCATCAACGTGTAGCAATGAGCCAGTGTGTTAGCTAATGTGTGTGTGTGTGTCGTTGAGGTGGAGGGTAGGTATAGGGGGAGAGAGGAAGTGAGCACATGCTATGTTGACATACCTGCTTGTGTGTGTGTTTATATATAGATAGATATTGTAACTAGTATTTTTTTCTCTCCTTTCCTCATTGGTGGAGTAGCATGAGTTCATTAGCAGCAAGAGGCAACTTCTGATTATTTTAATAGTTTAATTTGTAACTGAATTTATCAGTCAAGTAGCAGTAGGTTTGTCTATAAATTTTCTGAGTTTGAGGAAAATACTTGGATCAAAAGGGCGTTTTAGCACCAGGCTCTACGGGATAGGAGGTAAGCCGTGGCGACGTCCCGGTGCTATGACTCATTCTCTACAGAGTCTCAACACCACCTGAGTTACCCCGAGCTTTTCCTGAGTCCTCACTGGACTCCTTTTTTCCTACCATTTTGCAATGGCCTTTTCCATATCTAGATCATTCCTTCCCTGAAAACTCAATGACATTTGGTCTACTTGCCTGTGAGGCAAGCAAATTGTGTGTGTGTGTGAGTGTGTGTTTTCCTCCTTCCAAAGGATGAGTACATGCAGATATAAAATTGCTGGAGGGTTGGGGCAGAACAGAGATGAAGTCCAGAGTCAGGGCAAGGACCTGTGGTGCAGGGTGGGGTGGGGTGGGGTGAGGTTAGGTGTGACAGTGAAACTGGCTCTCAAGGGCCAGCTGCTTCTGGAGATAGAGACCAGAGGTGTGGCCACTGAGATCCAGGCCAGCGACTCTCTGGGTCTGGCATTCTGGGCCAGGGATGGGACTGATGCTCTTGTGTGTCCTTCAGAGCCAAAGATAATGTGCTGAAGGCCTCGTATTCCTTCCTTCTGGCTCAGCAGTCTGGGCACAAGGCCGGCCTCCCCAGGGCCCTCTGTGGTTTTCCTGCCCCTAAGTCTTACCTCATCTTTTCCCCACAAGTTTCTCAGGTTCTATTTGTGTCGATTCTCCTGCCTATTGCTTGGTGACAAATACTAACACTCTGCTGTGGATCTGCAGTGGACATGACCACTTTCCTGTATGTAAGAGAAAGGGTTTCCCTTGAGAAAATCCAGACTGCTCTAGAGGTGGGCTCAGCTGACAAGGCAAGCAGAAGGGCCTTCCAAGTTGAGTTCCATGGAGTACAAGTGTCCTGAGAAATATTAACAGGGGTGCCACAGAAAAAGTGCACCAAGGTCAAGTAAACTTGAGAAATAGGGCTAAACTGGCTTGTTTATCACAAGACTCCTCAGGGATGTTAGAGTGGGAATACACAATAGCAGTCTCTAAGAGCGCTCAGTGTGTCTCTAAGTTAGTTGATCACTCAGCTCTTCTTTTCCAAGGACCAGTATTCTCAAGAATATATTTTTGGGGAAACATAAGTATAAGGTTCAGTGTTTAGAATCTCAGTAGGTGTTCATCATCAAAGCCCTGAAAAATGATTGTGGGCCTTTTAGATGACCTCAGCTGGACTTCTGAGGGGGGAAAAGACTGTGACAGTTGGGCATGTTTGGAAAAGTGGATGAGATGGGTGTGGAAGCCAGGAAGACAAGATGGTGCTGGGGCCACATGGTCAGAGGAGGGTGGGAGGAAAGGGAGCCAGGTGAGGTGCCTGAGAACTTGTACCAGTCTTTTAGGGATGAAGATGAATTCTCTTGGCGCCAGAACTCTCTGTTTCTGCAAACCCTTTTTATTCTGGGCATATCTTTTGTAACTTAGTCATGTTCATTTTGAGTTAAGGGGACCAAGGAAAGATGTTGTTGCCTCCTCCTGAGCTGGAGGTAATTGGATTAGAGTGAGTGAAGCCCCAGGAGGAATGGGGGCCTGGCCAGGCCCTCATGATTCAGCCGCCCTCTCTCACCTGAAGAACCTTTTCAGAGCTCATCTCTGCGACAACTGTGACTGGCTCTGTGTTTTGTTTTAACCAGGAAAGCTGTTCCCTCGTGACCTCAGAGGCCACATCCTGCTTCCGCTGCCTGCACTGCCTTTGAGCCCTTTGAGTCGGTGCAGCTCAGCCAGCAGCTCCTTTCTGTGTCACAACCACTCGCCTGGGTGGGCTATGGGTTGGTTTCCTCCCCCTTGGCAGGACTTAGAGAAATAGAATGTGAGAACTTCAGAGTTGGAAGGGACTTTAAGGATTATGTAGTCTACCTTCCCATTTTATTGATGGGTAAGTTGAGGCCCAGAGATACTGTCTTGCTCCACGGCACCTGTACTTAGTAGCTGAATTAGTTCCCTGGACTCCCAGTGCAGCCCTGCTTCTGGGACCTTGCCTTGCCCCTGCTCTGGTCTTGGGGGTGTGACAATAGAGGGAGCCATGAAATCACTCAATGTGTCCGCAATACACAACCACCAGGAGAAGAAATCTTTATCTTGACCCTCTAGCTTATCCCCAGAGTGTAGGCTCTCAGGAAAACCACGACAAAGGCTCTCTCTTGAGCAGGCTGAGAGGATTATTAAGTCATGAGATCCAACCTTGTGTTTGTATTTTGGTGGATTTAGAGGGCAGACGGGATATTTTTTAGGAAAGATGATTCCTTATGGCTAAAATCCCAAACCAACCCTCCACCCCTATTCAATAAGCATTGGCTTAGCTGTCAGTTAGACACCTGGGCAGTGTGCTCCTGTGTGTTGCAAAGGAGGCTGGTCTGGTCGTGCTGATCCTGTCACCTCCTTCTTTTTCTAGGGAAGCAGGGGCATTTGGTGTGCCTGATTAGAGACACACACTCACACAGGCACACGGACGCACTCTCCTGCCTCAAGTCATTTTAGGGCATAAATATAAAATCTGGAAATCAACCTGTTTTCTTTACAGTTTTGCTCCTTTTGGAGATAAGCTGTTGGTTATCAATAGACCATAGACTCAAAACCATCTCTAATGAGTTACATTTTCTTTCCTGAAAGGTGCAGATTCACTTTATAGGAACAGCTTCAACTTCAGTGATGAGAAACTGAATTCTCCAACAGACTCTCCTGCAGCTCTGCTCTCTCCCCCTGTCACTCCTCGGAGAGGTGAGTTCATTAGTTGGAGTGTGAGATTTTTTGCTTCCTTATTCCCTTCCTCTTCTCAGTCTCTTCTCTCTTCCCCCCTTTTCCCTAACTGATCTTTCCCAAATGTGCAAAACAGATAGATAAGACTGATATCTTAGTACAGGACAGTGTGAAGTGGGATTTGTTATTTCTGAGGATTTTTATCAGTGTGAAAATGAAATCAGGTAATTGCGGGGCAGGAAACCAAATTCACAGGGAGAAAGAAAACCTGTAGACTCGAGACTCTGCTTTCTCTTGTGTGGTGTAATCAAGGCTGTGCCAAATGACGGTGCTCTCCCAGACGGGTCGGTTCTAGAATTTAAAACTCAGCAGTTAGGCTTTGCAGAAAGTAGGATTTTTTTTTTATTATAATAACTATTTAACCAATGCTTTCAGATTACCAATTTAGCAATTAAATGGGGTCTTCATTATGAGACAAGCGATGATCTAACATGATTCAAAATAGCAGCTCCAGCCTGTCTCTACTGTGATATTAATAGACCTAAAAAGTTTTTAAAGATGCATGAGCAGTTTCTTATTTTTTGGAACCAGTAAAGTGTCTCCAGCTAGAGAGCTGAATGTTCTGTTATATTGGACAAGGGCCCTTTTGAAAACAAAAGGAGTTTTTTCCTTAAGAAATGTTATACTTGCTGAAAATAGTTGCAGAGCAATAAAAATGGAACGGTTAAAAAAAAATATGAAGATTCCATTGCTTTTCTCATTCTGGCATTAAGGCAGAATTTCCCTCTTTCTCAAAAGAGACATTTTTAAATTCTCCTCTCAGTATGGCAATGTTAGCAACCACTGGGGACTCTGCCATTGTCCAGCCCTCCGTCTGTAATGGATCCATTGAGTATAGAGAGTCAGAGCAGTCTAGAAAGTGGCTTAAAACGTGCCCAGATTTGCCACCTGATCCTTAAGAGGTAGGAATTAACAAGGAGAAAAAAGTCCCAGTGGCAAATTGACTTTAAAAGCTAGGAACAAAGAGCCATTTGTAGCCAGCAGGGGTTAATTAATAAAAATATCCAGTAATGCATTTCAGAGAAGGCATGAATGATGAACTCTACAGAGCAATGTAAGATGTACAGAAAAAAAGTATATATCTCAGGATATGGAGGGAACAGGATCAGGATAAGGACTTGTCACTTTGTGCTGGCACCTGGATGGGATGAGGCTGTCCTGGACCCAGAAGCCTCATGTCACCTTCCTTGTACCATTTTGACAAGGAACGGTGGCTCTTCGTTCATCTCACACTGGAGGGACTCTGAGGGCTGCAGTATTGCCCTGGGGTGGTAACTCAAACAAAAATGCGTCAGAGGAGAAGTTTAGCAGGAATTATGGAATCTGGGTGTCCATTCTGCACAGTGCCATGCTTGCTGAATTTTTTTTTTGTGTGTGAGGAAGATTAGCCCTGAGCTAACATCTGATGCCAATCCTCTTTTTGCTGAGGAAGATTGGCCCTGGGCTAACATCCGTGCTCATCTTCCTCTACTTTATATGGGACGCCGCCACAACATGGCTTGACAAGCTGTGTGTTGGTCCGCGCCCAGGATCCGAACCTGGGAACCCGGGCCACCGAAGCAGAGCGTGTGAACTTAACCGCTACACCACCAGGCTGGTCCCGAATATTTTTGACTGATAACTTAAATCCTACACGATCAAAAAAATCAAAAATTTTTAACTTCCTTTCCTGCCCCTCTCCTCCCACCCGCCTCAAACTTTTAAGGTAGTGAGAGGAGATTCTTGTTCCAGGTTGCTGGGGTGGGGTGGGGGTGTATGGGATGATGAACTGAAAAACTAAGAAAGAAGTGTTTAGGCTAGTCTTCAGAAAAAGTTTCTGAGTTGACTAAGTAAACGTTGGAGGAGACACTTGGGGTTGGTACAGTATAGTCTTCAATAAGGTCTCTGAAGATAGAGAAATGCAAAATGGGGTCACATAATCAGGGAAACCGTGGGAGTCATCAGCTGTCTTCAGTATGGAAACTGAACTCCAACTCTTGTTTTTCAGCCAAGCTAGGAGACACAAAAGAACTAGAAGACTTTATTGCTGATCTTGACAGAACGTTAGCAAGTGAGTACATGCCTGGTATTAAAAAATCGAACAGAAAACTAACCGACACGTCTGATAAAGTGCTATAATGTTTACCAGCTTGCCTGGGGACAGGAAGTTACACCATAAGGCTTCTTTAGGTTCCGAAACAGGACCCTAGTGGCTCAGAAAGAAATTCTGAAGATGAGCTTGCTGTAAAGTAGACCAAGTGCCTTTCCAAACAGTGAGAACAGGCCACCAGCAAACAATGGCATTTTGTTTGAGAAATGGGGAGTAAAGCGGTATTTAGGCAAGACGAGAACTTTACCATCATGGTGGCCTGCCTGGCTTTTCAAAGAAGTGAGCAGATTGACCATACAAGCATTAGGCTCACAAGCCCAAGGGGTCCATCCCTTGGGCCGGGGAACTTTTTCCAGGTTAGATCCAGGGGCTTGGCAAGATCTGACTTTTAGGGGATTGGGACCCAAAAGAGAGAATTGGCTTGGGGAGACCTTGTAACCAAAGACTCACGCCAATTACTGAAAGACCTGGATTAAGTACGCAATACTTTGTTTCCGGTTTGGCAATTACACTAATTTTGTGTGACCAAAAATGCTGAGAACTGAAGATATCAGATCATAACTGCAATGGGAGGTCTAAAAGAAGGGACCCTGAGAATCAATCTACACACTTTATTTCAAAATGATTGCAAGAGCCAGAAGGACCAGCTCGAGCTTCCGGGATAGAAGTTTCAGCAGCTCTATTCTTGGGGAGCCTTGTTCCATCAGAGAGCAGGCTTGGAGAATTTTGTCCTAGCCCCTTAATTTTTCAATGAAAGAGTTGATTTTCCATAAGCAATATTTTATGCTGTATTCTGCTTAAATAGCCGGTTAAAATCTGAAAAATTAGATCCAAAGCTGACAGTTTTTAAAAACTCTGTTCTTAATACTGTTTCAGACAGACCTAAATATTAGGTGGAAAATCCTTGTATATTCTCTATTTCCTTGAAGATTTTATTGCTTGTTTTTTTTTTTTTTTTTAAATTTTATTTATTTATTTATTTTCCCCCCAAAGCCCCAGTAGATAGTTGTATGTCATAGCTGCACATCCGTCTAGTTGCTGTATGTGGGACGTGGCCTCAGCATGGCCAGAGAGCACGCGCTCTTAACCGCTAAGCCACTGGGCCGGCCCTATTGCTTGTTTTCTTATGTGCTGTACCATCCTACATCAGAAGACCAAGGCCTGTTTGACAGAGAGTATTGTAATTGCTGCGCAATTTGTATTAGACCCATGTAACAAGCCTGTCTACTTCATGGAAATTGCAGTTGGTTGCCCACTCATTCCAGTTAATCAGACATATGTTATGTAGATATTACATGGGAAGCCTGCCGTTAAGTTTGGTGCTTTGATGCCTGTCTGAGACTCTGTGATCTGGTTAAGCACAGGAATTGTAAACTTTTGTGAGTGGATAACCTTATCTATCTCCTATTTACAGGTATGTGAAACAAGGAAAGTTCTGGGTCCTTTCATCATAAGAGGGAAGCTTCAGAAAGCTCTGAGGACCTGGTAAAATCAGCTATAGAATTTGCTGCCAGAGGAGACAGAGATGAGCACTCACCTACCACCAGGCCATACTCAGGCTCACCCTAAAACCAGCCTTTGGACTCATCTCTGAGCAATTTAGACAGTGAAACTGACTTTGTTTACCTGCTTGCAGTGTATTAGAACAGACAACCCATGCTAATATTGTATTTTCTCTTAAAACATAGCTTTCCTGTAATTTAAAGTGCTTTCATGAAAATATTTGTAATTAATTATATATAGTTGGAAACAGTAATGTGCTTTTACCATTATAATATATTTTTGTATGCAAATAAAATTTGAACTGGAGACGGTATTTTGTAAGCTTCCTTTTTTTCTTTATTCCTTTCAATATATTTCCATTTAAATAATATTCTAGTGGGAATGACATGCCTCTTGACTTCTAACAAGGACCTTGGGTGCTGCCAAATTGCACTAGACAATAGGATGGTAAATTTAACAAAGTGTTACTTTGAAGCTCATTCAGCACCCTAGAGTGACGTGCTGGCATATGATTAATGGGAAGTTTTAATTTGAGGATTGTGGTTTTGATGGAAGTTGGGTTTCTCTTCGATCTCCATTTTCCTCGTATCTTAGCATCTTTTTAGATGCCATGGGTTCTTTCCTTCAGTTAAGGGAAATACCATTTGTGCTAAAAATCCAGGACTTAAATATGAGGGAAAGTTGGGGCAGCTGGAGGGTGAAAGAATGATGGTGCTCTTACAAGGTCTGTGTGCTAAGGAAGATTTGATGGTGCTGGCTTTGATGCTAAGGTTCAAGTGGCTTCAGTGGAGACAGAGGGTCCAGATGCAAGGTCTTCCATATGGTGGGCTTTGCATGCAGAAGCCAATAACCACCCCACACACACCTGCCTTTTGTGGAGGATGGGCAAAGGCATAGAAACAGGCAAGTTAATAATTTTATTATCTATGCTTTTCTATCTTTAAAACCTCTAATATAACCAGGCAGTACTTTGATAATTGGAATCAAGTTATTTAAAAACTCCAATCCTTACATTCCTATAGGACACAAATCCAAAACATAACTATTTATAATTTTATTTAATCTTCGAAAGCCAGCTACTGTATTTGAGCTGTTTTTTAGGGCGTTGAGAAACTAAATTGCCCTTCCTTTAACGTTTTTCTTTTCCCAAAGTTTCTGGAAAAGCTTTTAGGTTGAACCCAAATATTTTCTTTCTTTCTTGAGATATAATTCACATACACTAACATTCATTCTTTTAAAGTGTACAATTCAGTGATTTTTAGTATATTCACAGAATTGTGCAACCATCACCACCATCTAATTCTATGTCTCTGTGGATTTGTCTATTCTGGATATTTCGTATAAATGGAATCATACAACATATGGCCTTTTGTGTCTGGCTTCTTTCCCTCAGCCTACTGTTTTTAAGGTTCATCCATGTTTTATGTGAACCAGCATTTCATTCCTTTTTATGGTTGAATAATAATCTACTGTATGGATATATCGTATTTTGTTTATCCATTTATTGGCTGAGGGACATTTGGGGCTGTTTCTATTTTTTGGCTAATGAATAATGGTGTTATGAATATTCATGTACAAGTTTTTGCATATGGATTTGCATAGATGGTGGACATATATTTTAATTTCTCTTGGGTATCTAACTAGGAGTGGAATTGCTAGGTCGTATGTTAACCCTGTGTTTAACTTTTTGAGGAATCGCCAAACTTTTCCGTCGTAGCTGCACCATTTTACATTCCCACCAGCAATATATGAGGGTTCTAATTTCTCCACATCCTCGCCAACACTTATTGCCCATCTTTTTGAGAATAGCCATCCTAGTGAGTGTAAAGTGGAATCTTATTTTGATTTGCATTTCCCTGATGGCTAATGATGTTAAAGTAAAGTATCTATTCATGTACTTATTGGCCCTTTGTATATCTTCTTTGGAGAAACGTCTATTCAAATCCTTTGCTCATTTTTTAATTAAGTTGTCTTTATTACTGTTGAATTGTAGGAGTTTTCTATGTGTTCTGTATACAAGTCCCTTATCAGACATATGATTAGCAAATATTTTCTCCTATTTCATAGGTTGTCTTTTCACTTTTTTGTTAATGTCCTTTGAAGCACAAAAGTTCTAAATTTTGATAAAGTCCAATTTATCTATTTTTTCTTTTGTCACTTGTGCTTTTGATGTCATATCTAAGAAACCATTGCCTAATTCAAGGTCACAAAGAGTTACTCATATGTTTTCTTTTAAGAGTTGTATAATTTTATACAACTATATTTTATACAACTATATTTTAGAGCTTTTATAAATTTAATTTTATAATTTAATAAATTAAATTATAACTATTATAACTATAAATTTAATTTTATAGTTGTATATATATAATTGTATGTATATAGTTGTATATATATAAAATATATACAACTATAAAATTATATGACTCTTACATCATACAAATCTTACATTTAGGTCTTTGATGTACTTTGAATTAATTTTTGTATATATGATGTGAGGTAGGGGTCCAACTCCAGTCTTTTGCATGTAAATATCCAGTTATCATAGCACTATTGGTTGAAAAGTCTATTTTTTTCTCCATTGAATTGTGTTGGCACCATTGTTGAAAATCAATTGACCCTAAATGTATGGGTTTATTTATGAACTCTCAATTCTATTCCAGTGATCTATATGTCTATCCTTATTCCAGTACCACACAGTCTTGATTATTATAGCCTTGCAGTAAGTTTTGAAATCAGAAAGTGTGACTCCTCCAATTTTGTTCTGCTGCAAGATTACCTTGGCTGTTCTGGGTTTCTTGCATTTTTATATAAATTTTAGGATCAGCTTGTCAATTTTTGCGAAAAACACAGCTGGGATTTTCATAAAGAGTGCATTGAATTTATAGATCAGTTTGGGGAGTATTGCCATCTTAGCAACATCAAGTTTTCCTTCCAATTCAAGAACTGGAAATGTCTTTCAATTTATTTAGGTCTTCTTATTTCTTTCAACTATGTTTCGTGGTTTTCAGTGTATGAATCTTGCACTTCTTTTGTCAAATTTATTCCTAAATATTTTATTCCTTTTGATGGTATTGTAACAGGAATTGTTTTCTTAATTTTATTTTCAGATTGTTCCTTGCAGGTGTATAGAAATATGCTTGATTTTTCTATATATTTTTTTATCCTGCAACCTTGTTGTACTTGTTCATTAGTTCTTTTTTTTTTTTTTTTTTT